AGTTTTACTTACGCACAATCTACTTGCAATCTTGAGTTTTAAGTAAGATGCATTAATAACTAGTACTTTACGCATAAAAAATGGTTTTTAAGAATTTTTGTCAAATGCTTTATAATAATATAATATACATATGATGTTGGATTTTACTGAAAAGGAAAGTTAAGAAACGTAAGAAAAAATCTTCACCGCTTAGCGTAAATTAGGATAAGATACACCAGATCAATCACAATTTATAAGTTAGTTTAAGATTAAAAGTCTAGATTCATTCTTATTTCTATCCTTTGCTTATATATATTTTTAATTGTTATTATTTATTATTTTTTATTTAAAAGAAAAGTTTTGAAAAGAGAATACATTAATTCTTTCCATTTCCTTTTTTTATTACTTAACAAACTTGAAAACAAGCGTTTTTTTCCTGCTTTTCTTCCTTTCTTTATTATTAGAAAGGTATTGGTATAATGCAGTAAGATAAATCTCAATTTTAATATTTGATTTATTTATTTATTTATTATTTTATGTGTTTTATTTTTGAATAAAATATAAATTTAAAAATATCATAAATTTTGAAAAAAATATATATTAATGTTAATATCAAATCAACTATTTAAAAGCTCTCATTTTTCATGTAATTTCTTTAATTTATTTTTTATTATAGTTTAATTTAGGTTTAATGATATAATTTTTTTATTAAGATAATAAACTCCATCGTTTAATCACTTTCAAGTTTCTTAAACTTGTTCTTCCAATTTCTATTGCTAATTTGTGTTTAGGGTTTTTGCAGATCCCCAAATCCAACCAAATATATGTTAAGTTTCCAATTTCTATTTCTGTAAGTATCCTTTCTTATTCACCTTGCTTTCTATACTATTTTCTGATCGAAATTAAGAATCAAAATCTTTTCTTATTCAATCATCCTCTTCTTCATAATCTGAATCTTGTTTTCATTACATCTTGCTTTCTTTCTATAATTTGATGATGGGGTTTAATTTTGTTAAAGAAACATTTTTTTAATATTTACTACTTATTATTATTATAATAAAACTCAATTATTATAATATTATTATTTTAGGGTCTTGGTTTGCATTTCGTTTTGAGTTGGGTCCGT